TTATATTCTATTTAATTTTAAGTATAATCATAATTTATTCTTAAATATAAAAAAAGTTAAAAAGTTTATCATTATAGTCCTAATTCGACGAAATACAAAATCAAGCAACAAAGCACAATTCTATTAGCCAAACATTTAGACTAGATTATATTTACGATATAATTAAATTACAGTAATTGTTTTACTTACATCCAAAATATAATCTAGTTTAAAGATGTTTATCTAAAAATTGTAATTAAATTTTACTCTATTTATTCTTAAAAAAATATTTTAAAATGACAAAAATATTAAGGTTGATTTAGTTAATAAGTTGAATTTACCACTTAATTTATTATCTTTAATCATCAAAGAAAGAATTTTAATTTCAAAATTTTTCTTCTCTAACAGTAACTTTCTTTAGAAATATATCAACTAATTATGATCATTTGAATACACTGTTCAAATAAAATTGATATTTTTTAGTACTTTTTGAAGTTAAATAGCTTGCGATTTACAAATTTTTTAAATATTATTTCAATATGAATTATTTATCAATGTTAAAAAATGAAAAAGATATATATATAATAAAAAAGGGTTCGAGTGAGGACCCAAAAGTGAATGAATGTGTTGTTTTATTGTCCCAATTTTCTTTTATCCTGCTCATCACTCAACCTCATGACTACAACTGCAAATAATATATGTGTATATAATATATAAAATAATGTGTGTGTGTGTGTGTGTGTGTCATATTAGTTGCATACGATATATATATATATATATATATATAATAAATTTCAAGTAAATCACATATGATTTACTTGAAATTCATATGTCTTAATATTAATGTTTTAATAAAATAAAATCATATTTAATATAGAAAGAAGAAAGAAAAAAATTTGTTAGTTTGTTCTTTATACATTTCAATTCAGTTTGAGAAATGCAATGAAACTTTTCAGGGACCATCCTCTCATCCGACTACTTTGATTGAATTAACTTTAACCTCCTTTCTATCTGACCTCTGGGATAAATGGCATTCAAATAAGAAAATTATTTAAAACAAACTTACCAGCAAGCACAAAATATATTTTTAGAGGTATTCAATTATGCTGAGTTTAAATATTGGGTCCATTTTTCTCAAAATTTGATCGGTCGGTCAATTACCATTTGTTTTTGGCTGTATATGGTACATTAACATTACAAAAAATTTAAATGTCTTGAATTATCTTCTCGTCAGAAGCCAAGATATTTAAGAATAAAACATTTTTTGAGACCTTCCATTTCAGTTTCACATCCCCTAACTGTGTCAGCTTTGTTTGTGGGGGTGTCTCCCATCCCAATTTTCATGTTTCTGCAATTAACACCCCATTTACTTCTCATCCACATGTGATGGTAGCATTGAGGTGACAGTCTATAATGTCAGCTGAATGCTGTTGCTAACTTCCTTACAAACTTCACTTAATGACAACAAAAAATACACACAATTGCATACTAGTCTGTAGCATGTTTCTTTTTAAAATNATTAAGAATTTAGAAGTACTCAAAAGAATAAAGTTTGACACAGTATATTTTTATGTTTAATACATTTAGATTAAGTTTTTTCATAGATTTTAAAATGGGATCACCACCACCTGAATAAAAAGCTTGTGTCAGCAATGAATCATCATAAACTTGATAAGTTCACATGATTCATAGTCAGAAACTGCTATAGATTCAGTCTTCCTAATTATAAGTTCTGAAATGAAATCTGTTTACATTTTTTTTAAATAAAAAAAAAAATTTTTTGGCCTAAAAAAAACAATTATACATATAATTTTATAAGTACACATATAGAGTTTTATTTATAATTCTTATTCAAAACTTTTTGCTTATATAAACTGATAAAAAGAACAATTAAAACATCAAATAATCTAATTTTCAGATTAATGCCAAATGATTGCCAAATTATATCAGGCTATAATAATTAGTAATTAGTAGCTCAACATAATCCGACAATCGTTTAGCATTAAAAGAACAGTTTTTCAACTTTTCATTCAACTTAATCAAATTTAATAAAGTAAACCATCTATTATCTGAAGGATAAAACTTTCTTTTATCATAATTTGATTATTCATAAACATCTGTTTATACAATATGACTTATACTTTGAATATTATTTGTTTATTTGCAAAATATACCATTTGGATACTAGACAAATTAATTATTTTCCTTTTCAGCTTTTTTGTACACGTATAAGTTTATATTCTATTTAATTTTAAGTATAATCATAATTTATTCTTAAATATAAAAAAAGTTAAAAAGTTTATCATTATAGTCCTAATTCGACGAAATACAAAATCAAGCAACAAAGCACAATTCTATTAGCCAAACATTTAGACTAGATTATATTTACGATATAATTAAATTACAGTAATTGTTTTACTTACATCCAAAATATAATCTAGTTTAAAGATGTTTATCTAAAAATTGTAATTAAATTTTACTCTATTTATTCTTAAAAAAATATTTTAAAATGACAAAAATATTAAGGTTGATTTAGTTAATAAGTTGAATTTACCACTTAATTTATTATCTTTAATCATCAAAGAAAGAATTTTAATTTCAAAATTTTCCTTCTCTAACAGTAACTTTCTTTAGAAATATATCAACTAATTATGATCATTTGAATACACTGTTCAAATAAAATTGATATTTTTTAGTACTTTTTGAAGTTAAATAGCTTGCGATTTACAAATTTTTTAAATATTATTTCAATATGAATTATTTATCAATGTTAAAAAATGAAAAAGGTCCAAATAGCAAATATAAATATTATTTTCCACAAAGTGTACTTATTTTGCTTATATTTGATAAAAATAATATTTAATGCATTACATCACAAAAAACAAGCTAAGCAGCAATATTAAAATTAGACTAAATTTTAAAATCTTAATTACTTTGAATTTGTTAATTTTGTTTTTACCTATCCAACAATACATTATAAAATTTAAAAATATGAACAAGTTTTGATAAAAAAGATATAATTAGTGTACAAACAAACAATTGAGAATAGCATTTTTATTTTTATCTTAATTGTAAATATGCTATTTTTGCTGTTATAATGGAAGTGACAGCTTGTTGGAATCTCATTCTGTCTACATTACTTCAAGAGATTGTATTACATTACTCATGATAACAACACATGCTTAGCCATTTGATTCTCCATTACATAACCACATATCAAACTTTAAATAAAATTCACTGTATTGTAATATATTGTGATTCTCATTTACATTAAATAAATTTATTATTATTATTGATTATTTTTAGTATATAATTGCCATTAACAGTAATCATAAAAAGCTTTTAAAGATTATTAGTCATGATAATAAAATTTAGTATACTTATGAATTTTCTTTTGATAGAAAACAAATTATTACTGAAACCTAATAATTTTAATTTTTGCTTAATATCAATTTCCAGCTTTATTATTAATAGTTATAATTATATTTCATGATAATACAACTGTTGATTAATTAAAATGATCCAAATATTTATTTATTTTATATAAGAGATTATTTTATCTAATTTCTCTGATATAATATCCTATCAAATATTTGGTTATGAAAAACATTTATTTTAAATTATTTTAACTTTACCAATTTATTTATGAAATAAAATCTAAAATTGTTATATTTATTATATTAATAATATTTAATTATACATTAAATTTATTCAATATGAAGCAATTAAACCTATTAAATGATGAACAAATTACACAGAATATACCAGAAGAATAATTCCTTTGTTGTTTATTAATTAAATTATATTTATTAAATAAGAATGTATTTATAATTTAATTTCCAGTTTAAATATTGAAATAATTAATTTAGCAAATTTAAATATTAAATTTAAAAATAACTTTTTATTTTAATTAAGAATTTAGAAGTACTCAAAAGAATAAAGTTTGACACAGTATATTTTTATGTTTAATACATTTAGATTAAGTTTTTTCATAGATTTTAAAATGGGATCACCACCACCTGAATAAAAAGCCTGTGTCAGCAATGAATCATCATAAACTTGATAAGTTCACATGATTCATAGTCAGAAACTGCTATAGATTCAGTCTTCCTAATTATAANAATAATTTTAATAATTCAATCCTTTAAATAAGTCACATAGAATATTTAATTATTACTAAACTTCATATTAAACCAAAAAATTCAAAAATAATTTTAGTACATCCATATTTAAATTGAAAAAAGACAAAAATGTATCCAATTACTCTAAGAAAAAGAAAAAAAAAAAAGCTAATTGAATCCCTTTATATACCCGCCTGTCATTAGCAAAAATAGTTACATAATCTTTAACATTTAAAGGTTTGATTTATTTGAAGTTTAGTTAAAGTAAAGGTTTCTTTATCAAAACATACCAAAAAATATGTACAAAATTATTCTTAAATGTTATAATTAAAAATTTATATCATCTGATTTCACATTTTACTTTTTTCCTACTTAAATATAAAATATAGAGTTACATAAGCAAGAATATTTAATTACATCCACATACAGGAATTTTTCAATAAGTCATTAATTAAATTTTCAATGAAAATTACATCATAATTTAAGAGGTTTAATTAATAAGAATTAGAGAAAGATAATAAGAAACAACAAAAGAAATTAAATGCATTAACAGAAGAAGCAAACCACTTGCCAAGAAGACAGGGCATTGACAGTATTTTCTATTTTATGTGTAATTTCTGTATTAAAGATCTTATATAATATTTTATTCTGTAAAGTTGAAGCTTTTCTTCCATATTAAATTTTAATTAAGTGGCTCAAATAATTAAATATTTTTAAATTCAAATTTATATAAGCTTTCTGCATATAAAATAGTAGGAGTTACTTTTGGTTAGTTCACACATAGACATGTATATGGAGCATTTAACTAAAAGTAACACCTACTCCTATGGCTTACTGTGTGTCACGATTAACTCGTACACACGAAGGTCGGTTGTTACGTCATAATACAAAATTTATTACCTGTAAAAAAATCATTAGATGTCGATATTGATTATTTGGGTAAGGTCCTTCGGATCCAATAAAAGTTATGTTAGATGGAACATCATTGTCGATATAAACAAGATTTTGAAATTTGGCCAATAAAGTTGATAGAACAGCTAAACACAAGATAATTAATATTGTAACTTTTGTTAATGCCATCAAATATTGTATGTGATAGGCCGGTCTCATCCAAATAGAAAGCTAAATGTTATAAAACTAAACAAAATCGAATCGGTTTATTGTGCTGCAGACGACGGAAACTCAATGACGTGTTTGAACCGAATTTCATTCTGTGTCGTCATACTTCGAAGGAAAATCAAATAGAAACTATTATTATTTTTTTTAAAAATTAACTATTTTAGTAAACTTTATCGTTATTATTTATTAGAATTATTATAAATTAATATAAAAATAATTAAAATTTTTAAATGTTTCGTTTGTTTGATTTAAATATTAAATATTAAAATTGTTTTTCAATTGGCAACTTCCTATGCGCCCTCTATAATTTTTTTATAGATACAGTATTCAAATCTCGAATACAGTAGAACCTCGAAAACTCGGCCTAATGTGGACCGAAGGGTGGCCGAGTTTGTGAAAATGCCGGGTTATCGGGAATGGGGTTTAAAAAAATAAGTATGAGTGTTTCCTCAGAAAATACTGTACTGTACTTGTATGTATTGTTTACTTGAGAATATAACAGAGAATAAACTGCCCAAATACCCTTAAACAAAGGAAAAGTACGTCCTTTATGAAGGCGTAGAGCCTTTACTACATGAAAATGAAAATTAATGAATACACTGTGTACAGTAATTTACCTGATAAGACAGACCTCAGAAAAATACTTTATGAGAGCTTTTATACTTTTATAAAGCTGTCTATAATGAAAATTAATTAACTAAGGATTTTTTTGCCCTGCCAGGGTGTGGCCGAGTTATCCGGAGTGCCGGGTTATCGAGAGCCGAGTTTTCGAGGTTTTACTGTACTAGGAAGTGTTCAAGATCTCGAACATTACGTTGATGCATTCAAATACTAACAATACCTCCAATATCGTGCCTTGTGCGCAGTCATATTGAAGGATCCAGAAGAGGGTGGGCTAACTCAAAAATTAAAAATATCTGAATAATTAATAGGTATTTTTAATTAACACGTGTACGAAATTTGTATTGAAATCGTAAATGCTTTTAAAAACATTTTAATGTTCGAACGAATTTTTTTTTATGTGAATCAATAGATATATTGGTCCTTGAGCTGCCAATAGCTCTAACGTTACGATAGTGACGTAATAAATATTTTTGCCACTTCGAGCGCTGCAATCGCTTCACGGCATAAATTTGGCTTGAACACAGGAAGTCAGCTGTAAACATTCGAAATTCTTTTTAAGAATGAAATTTTCTCGTTTTTAACTCAGATATTGCTTTTGTCTTATTAAAGTACTGCTTATACATACTATTTTAATTCGGTTTTGAACATTATTTATTAGTAAATTTCTATTTCTATTTCTATTAACTGTCACTTTTACGATTTTAGACTTAAGATTTTAGATTAAATAAATTTCGCACAATGACGTTCCTTTTTTATAGTAAAATCATTATTACATAAGCAAAAGTTTTTATTACTAGGCTTAATACAAATTAATCCAAACTAAACATCAAAGTATTCTAATGCAAGAATTAAGAACTTTCCGATTGAAGGAAGTTCTTGTTCCGAAAAATTTTTACTGAGTATCCGAATACTTAGTGAATGCGGTCCTTATTAGCTCACACGACAGAGATCAAGTTAATTCGAGTTCCAAAAAAAATACAGTAGAGCGTCGTTTATCTGAATCAATTAAGGACTGAGGTTGTTCGGATAACTTGTTTTTTCGGATAACCGATTATGTACGAAAAAATACATTAACCTATCCCATGTTGAAATTTTTCTCCGTTGCGTGTCGCTCCGCGTTGAATTTTCGTCGATGTTAAGCCTAATGTAAACTTTTTAAAATAATAATCGTGGCTATTGTATCGTTAAAAATTATTTCTTTATTGTTTACAAACAAAATAAATATATTGAAAAATATAAAAACAATAAAAAATTATACTTCAGATGTTAATTTAGTATCAAAAAACGTAAAATATTTGAGTAACCCAAGACATAGCCAAAGATTGAAGCACCACAGCACTGGCGAAAATTTAAATTTGCTGAGTGGAATTCTTTCGGATGATTGACTTTCGGAAAATCGACGCTCTACTGTAGTAATCTCATGACTGAAAAGAGCTTCTCTCCAATNAAAAAAATTTATACTTTAGAAGTTATCTAGTATCAAAAACGTTCGATTCAGCATGACACACAGTCCTCAGAAAAACACCACACAAAAGTGACAGTGCTGCCAGCTAAAACACATACACAAACAAAAAATATTGGAGTAGCCCAAGATATAGCCAAAGATTGCAGCGCCACAGCACTAGCGGAAATTTAAATTTGCCGACTGTAATTCTTTCGGATAACCGACGTTTCAGATAAACGACGCTCTACTGTAGTGGCAAGTCAACCGTCAAAATTTCGAATCCTACTACAATAATACAGAGACTAAGTAATTTCGCGACCTAACTTTTCGAGAAATTTTAAATTAATGCTCTAATTAGCCATTTACTTCAATTTCTGTAATTATCAACATGCTAATCAACTTATTTTCGAATACTCGGTACTAGTTAGTCACTAACTATTCCTTCCAAGCAAATTAGCATCAGTGCCGGCCCGAGGCAAGTTTTAGGATGGAGCGAGATCCTATTATGGCGCCCCCTTGGTTGCTCCTAATTTATACCCTTTAATTTTCTTTACCACTGAGGCGCCCCAAAGGACTTAGAACCTGGAGCGGCTGCTCCATTCGCCCTATGGTAGGGCCGGCTCTGATTAGCATCACTATACAGTGGCGTAGCGAGTGGGGTGCAAGGGGGTCTATCATGCACCGGGGGTCACTCGCAGAGAGGTGCCCACATGGTCTCCATGACAAACTATATGTGTTTCTGGAGGGTGGAGGGGGCGCCAATAAAATATCGTGCCCCGGGCGCCAGTTATGTGTTCGCTACGCCACTGTCACTATATTATCTTATTCTCATTATTTTCATGAAAAATGTAACTTTTACCTCCCTGCCTATTCCAGTAATAAAAGATATGGTTTCCCATTAGTAAAAGCTTTTAATTTTAACCTTAAAATAATCTTGACCTTTGAACTAGACCTTAAGATCAAGGGTATATCTGAATGTAAAATTTCCTGCTCTTTCCATTTCCGGGGTCAAAAATATGTGTTCCCATTGAAAAAAAAACTTGACCTCAAGGTCAAGGTCGCGTCTGAGGTCACCAATTGATTGCCCCCTCGACACCCTACAACTTTTGTCTAAACCTTTTTCCAAAATAATGAGATCAAATTAAGATATTTCATTGTCTCAAGATAAAAAAATACACCCTGTATAAAAAATGCATTTTAAAAGTATTTTTTTAATGTAAAAGAGAATTTCTCTTGATTAAAATACGCGAAAATACTCGTATTAATTTGAATTAATAAATAGAAAGCTCTTAACAAATTTCAATTGATAAGATGATAAACGTTAATCAATAAATCAATAAAAACAATCGCAAGGAAAAGAATATCTTAGAAGATTAATCATTAAATTAATTATATTTTTATATTCCAAATTAGATTAAATTAAATGTTATAAGAATATTGTTTAATTAATATTTATAGATTAGAAAAATGCTTATCTCTGTTTATGGTTTAAAATAGTGGTTGCAGTGAGTCATATTTATCTTTATCCCGGTGTGGTAAGCAGATATCTAAAAATTATCTAATTAGTCTTGGAAGAGGAGGATCTAATTCTTGCACTCGGTGAAAACGGGTAAGATCGGCTATAATCTAATAATCTTAATCTTTGCTATCGTTGCTTTTTGTCCGAGCAACACTGGACTCATCTGCTAGTTTTTAATATTTTACTTTTTAAAAATCACGTGACTTCCGGTCCACACCGAACGTTAACAGAAGTTTCCGGTCCTTAAGCATTGGGCCCTTTATGGTAACCTAAGGCACTAAGCTCTCTTAGTGCCCACGAGGCGGAAAGAGTTTTAAAAAAGAAGTATACAGTCGACGCAATTCAGTATAGAAAACACATTTTCTAGCGTTCGGGATATAAAAGTTGCATTTTAGATCTTCCGTCTTCACCGCTGCAAAATGACCTTTCCGATGTATGAGTTTGATTATGTCAGTTTGCATCGATTTGGGTACAACGTACAGTTCTAGTCCGTTTTCGTATTTATACAAAACATTATTTTTCAGTACATAGCTATTTGTCTCTTCTTTTTCTACTGAGTCTTTAAGAGCTTTTATATTCTCATCAGTATCCTGTGCAGAAACAATTCTTGTTATTTCGTCAAGAGAACGCGTAATTAGTAAAATTGCATTGCGACTTAGCGCATATACGTGCATCATCTGGCTACCTTTTCTATGGACAACTTCATAATCAAATTCAAGATATAACGACCATCTTGCTAATTTTGGAGTGAGCTCCTTTTTCCCAGTTTTCGTTGAAACGCAGCAACAGTCTGTAATTATTTTAAATTTGGAGCCCAACAGTTTCGAAATTTCTTCAAGCCCTCAATTACCGCGAGTACTTCTAACTCGTAACTGTTATATTTTTACTATGATACGCTTCTTATCTAGTCTTCTGAATGGCTTGTGAACACTAAGATTGGCTTTACTTTACCACTAGACTTACTACACCACCAGAGGACATCAAATTAGATTTAGAAAAACACTATTTTATTTTCAGAATGCATTTCGGACGTGGAGCCCCTCATCAGCTTTTTTGCTACAAAATTAATAGGAGGTTAACAATTTTTAAAAGTACCGTAATTGACAGGAATGAAAAAAAGGGTGTAGACTTACATTTAACAGTCGATTCGATGTTTTGAACATTAAAAGATTAAACACTCAATAAAACAAAAAATTGTTCGTATTTTCTTAGCACAATGTTGCCGTTGAGAACATATCATACAGGAACACTTTCAGAGGAAAAAGGTTGTTCTATTGGTGTGAACGGATATGCATTTCAGGCTTAACGCCCCTCTTCAATCCTATTATTACATATTTATCAGTAAATTGATTACAGGTTTACAAATTTACAGAATGCATTGAAAAAATTAGGATACGCATTCATATCAGTGTTTTTCAACCTGTGGGTCGCGACCCTCAGGGGGTCCCAAAGCCTTATACGGAGGTCGCGGGTGAAAGAAAAAGACAAGTGTTTGTAGGTCCTACACTACAATAAAAAAAACTAGAATTTCAGTGAGAAGGCTGTGCCTGTTTATTTTACAGTACAATTGGTTTTTCGATCGATATTTAAAGAAAGAAAATTAAATACGTAGTTTTTAAAATCACTAATATCGTTTTAATATGACCCTGGGGGGTCGCCAGAATTTTTTAACTTGTAAAGGGGTCGCGTATTCAAGAAGGTTAAAAACACTGGTTTATATAATAAAACTTAATTACCTGAGATAGTGACAGTTAAACCAACATGACTCGTAAGAAGATATAAACATAGTTGAAAAAGGAAAAAGGAGCTAAAGTTCTTTTGGCTCCACACATATACACATTAGGATAGTATAACACGTGCTAAAATAAAAAAAAAAAAGGTAAAATTAAGTAGATATTAAAAGGTGGAATTTTTTAAAATTAATAACGGAATACCTGTAGGGTGTGAAATAATTCTGATGAGATGTACAGAGAACATAAACAAGATATGAGACGTTAAAAAGAAGTAAGTAATCCTTGTAACATACATTGAAAGTTTGGTGTGACTTGCACAGAGGGGTATGATATGCATGCCCGAAATGCATATCCGTTCACACCAATAAAACAACCTTTTTCCTCTGAAAGTGTTCCTGTGTAATATGTTCTCAATGGCAACATTGTGCCAAGAAAATACATATAATAGAGAACAACAAGCAACCAAGATTTAAAAACTTTTTCATTAAAAAACGGCAGTGCTGATACAATAACACAATAATAAACTGAGATACTGGTAAAACAGTAAAAATATACATTGTTAAAACAAAATAATAAGCAGATTCACAGTAACACGAATAGAGTAACAAGATGATTCGAAATACATTCCAGAATAGCTGTCACCCTCTCCCCTATCCATTTTTACAATTCTCCCCCCAACCTCCTCTGGTCAAATATGCCAGAGTCGGTAGATTAACTGGTCTTTCGACTAATAGTTCAAACTTAGCTAGAGACAATATTTGCCGCTAGTCAGCGCCACTGTTAGCAGGAGATCGTTGTTCTTGCTAGGTATATACTAAAGTCAGTGATTTTGACCTATAATAATTGTTTTTTTAGCTCCATAAAAATGCCGACGTGCTTTGTGCCAGGATGCAAGGCAGGATATAAGTCATCGAACGAGAAGAGACATTTCTTCCGTGCTCCTAGCGATAAGATTGAGGAGTGGATGCGATGCATTCCACGAGACGACAGGATGCTAACAAATAAATGTTACGTTTGTGACGTACATTTTGCGAGTAGATTTATNAACAAAATAATAAGCAGATTCACAGTAACACGAATAGAGTAACAAGATGATTCGAAATACATTCCAGAATAGCTGTCACCCTCTCCCCTATCCATTTTTACAATTCTCCCCCCAACCTCCTCTGGTCAAATATGCGTACCACGATTTGTGTAGTTTTTGGCCGGAATTGTTATTCATGATTTTCTTTGTTTTTTATTATTTCTAAGTGTTATATTTTTCTTGCTGGGGTGCTGTTTTTCTACTCATATAATTGATGGGGTAATAATTTCTGTTATCAACTTATTGTAGCAAAACTGCTCCGAACTCGAGGCAACTTGAATCCGTATGTAATTCTAATGGAGAACCACGCTTGAAAATATGTAGAACTGGACTTCGTGATAGCATGTCCTTCAATTTTTGAAATGCTTCTAGCTGTTCTAAACCGAATTGGAATTTTGCGTCGTCTCTAAGTAAATCGTTTAAGGGTTTTACCATTTTCGAATAGTGAGGAATAAATTTCCTAAGTAACCTGAGAGTCCTAGAAAGCTATGAACATATGTTTTATGGTTCTGGGTTGTGGAAACTTCTGAACAGCAGCTGTTTTAGTTGGAGAAGGTCTAATTTTTCCGTCTTTGATGACATAAAGAAATTCTATTTCGTCCTTTAAGAACTGACATTTTTCGAAATTAAATTCCAATCCATAGTCTGAAGCTACTTTTAGCACACGTTTCAATTTTTCTAGACCTTCCTGTGCATTTGATGACGGTATCAGGATATCGTCCATATAAATTACTAGTTTTATCTTGTAACAATAGTAAATATAACGTTGAAATACATTTGGACTATTACATAAGCCAAAAGGATCCTTTAAAAATTCATACTGGCATTCATGTGTAAAAAAAGAAGTATACTTTCTACATGTCTCATCAATTTCAACATGGAAAAATCCATTTCTTAAATCGAGCGACGTGAATAATTTTGATTGTTCCAAACAATCTATCCCATCTTCGATCAAAGGCGATGGGAAGTGATCTCTGATCGTTTTCCGATTCAATTTATGAAAATTGACGCACAGTCTAGTCTTGCCGTTTTTCTTTTAGCATAAAACTATTGGCGAAGCGTAATCTGAACAGCTAGGTTTGATTATGCCACCATTCAACGATTCTTGGATTTGATCTACTATTTCTTGTTCTTCGAATGACATTCTACGCGGGCGCTGACTAATGGGAACTTCATCAGTTAAGATAATTTGCATCTTCAATCCGGTATCCCTAACCTTATTTGACGAATAATCTGAAATTAATTTCATCAAATTTTGCTGTTGTTTTGTATCCAGAATGTGACTCAAATCTATTTTTTTAAAACCCTTTCCGCCCTGTGGGCACTAAGAGGGCCTCTTTTTGTAAGCCCATTATGGTTCGGCCAGGCCCACAATGGGGATGCCAGGTGGTGAGGGACGGGGCCCGACATATCCGAACGGATCATCCCCGAAAAATTCCTGGGGATTTTTCGACCCGTTCGGATTCGAACCCGGGTCCCACAGAGCAGTAGACTGTCACCTTGACCGCTCGGCCATCCGCCGCCACTTAAATCTATTTGACAACAATCTGTCGCATCTGCCAATCGACCTAAAAAGCATGTTTCTTCACTTTCAACTTCTAAAGAATCAGCTAAATCATACGTCCTGTCTTTGGCGAACGAAACATGGTTAAAACAATTTAATTTGTTTATGTCCGTACTTGGTTGAATTTTTTGCTTTCATTGCAAGGCTTACATGAAGTGGCATTAGATTCGAAAGTCAACCTTTCTTCTTTTTTTATTTGCGCGGAAATCATTTACGTCATTAACCACAAAGAATGGGCACTCATCAAGTGATTTAGTGTTTTGAAAACCGTTTTCTTTTCCCTGCTCAATGGAATGCGAAAGAGAAATCTGCCCTTTTCCATAAGCGTCGTCTAGTCTAGCGAATGTTGATTCAGCCACAGAATTTTCTTCGGGAATAAAAATTCGAGCATAATTTACAAGAATAGTATTTTGTATTTTTGCTTCGTTTTCCTATGATCTCGAATCCATAGTTCGTTAGAGAGAAATTCAGCTTATTCAGAACATCTATTCCAATTATTATAGAATTACACAGATCACTTTCTAATACGTAAATATTCGCAGCAAGAGAATATTCTTCAATTTTTATTTTACTTTCAAAGAAACCCAACGGAAAAGTACTATTCCCATTTAATCCACTCAGATTAAAGATGCATTATCAGAATTTAATTTCGGATATCCTATTTTTTTCATAAAAATGCTTTAGTATCATCGTTATGTCTGATTCCGTGTCAATGAGTCCTTTTGTTTTTGCACCTAGAATTTCAACATCTGTTTCGATTTTATCATCAGAGAAACGACTTAGTTTTGTTTACTGCTTTTTGAGGACAAGCGTTAGCTTTATGACTGAATTCTTTACACTTAAAACATTTAATACCTTCAGATTTATATACAGTACATATTTACTTGATGTATGACCAATTTCATTGCAATTAAACACTTGATAATTTTATTATCATGTTTATTTCGATAAGGCTGGGGTTTTTGGTGCTCTCTGGGTGGATTTGGTTTAGATTGAAACGAGAGTACGTAGACATGACCTTTTCAAACTCTTAACTTTTCATGAAATTCCGTCAAATTATCTATTCCGTACAACATCGTTTTGTTACTAGGTGGTCACGTATACCAGAAATAATATATTCAATCAACCCGTCAGGTTCAATTTTTCCATGACTAGCGAGTTCGCATTTTAAAGAAATATTCTTGTACGGATTCATTTGGAAGCATTTGGCGTTTAGCCGGCATACTGTGTAATCGTGCTGAATTATATTTACAGTAGAGCATCGATTATCTGAATCAATTAGGGACTGGGGTTGTTCGGAAAATCGATTTTTCGAATAACCAATTACGGTTATCCGAAAAATCTACTAGATAAGTAGAAACTAGATATGGAAAGATTAGAGGCAGAAGGCCCCGATTAATTAACTATATACAAACTTCAGGTTTGAACCGGAAGTGATGCGTTTTCAATTCAAAAACTTTCTCCAGAACGGAGTTAATAGCCGGCATTGCTATATTGTTAACAGGAAAAGTAAAATGTATAAAGGCAAGACACCAAAACCCAAAACCACATGCAGCTGGGTCCTACCATATTCAAGTTTTTTAAAACTTTCTCTTAAATAATTTAAATAATTATTAAAAAGTCATTTCTTAAACGAAAAAAGTAAACATTTTTTGATCATTTGGTGATAAAAATGAGAATACAGAAATTTACAAAAATACTAAATGAAACTTTATTTTTTATACTACAATACTAAAGCTAAACCACATGCTTCATTATTTTGTACATTTTTTCTTAAATCATCTGATGAAACTCAAATCAAATTTTGTAATCTGTTCATATAAGCAATGGTATTTTAGTTATGTACAGAACTGTTCAATGACTACTTTAACACACAATATTACTGCTATATTTTTTTCTGATTTGAAAATTTGGCAGATGTTTTCTTATCATCTCTCTTCATTTGTAACAAGTACAAGTGCTGTTAGTGCAAAATATTATTATTATTATTATTATTAACATGTGAAATGATTGATAATTCAGATGATGATAATAATAATATTATTATTATTATTATTATTAACATGTGAAATGATTGATAATTCAGATGATGTACAGTATAATATATATAAATCTTTAATACAATGTATGTAAGATAAAAAGAACAACCTTTTAGTATAAAATATTAAATCTAACAGCCAATGCCACACAATAAATTTATGGGAAGAAAAATGAAAACTTGAAAAATTTTTTTATCAAATGCAAAATAAATTCCTTATTGCTGTTTAAAATTTATTACGAAGTGCATAGATCTTTCAAATTTTTATATTTTATGTTGGCGTAAAAAATTTCTTGTTAAATAACTTAAGTCTGAAAGTATTAGCACCGGCATTTACGAGATCAGATTGTGTGGCACAAACTGAGGAAAAAGTCATCTAAATTAAAAAATTAACATCTAATTTTAGACTTTGACACAGAAGAAAACCTACATTCTTTATCATTACTCTAAATAAAATGAGATCTAGAAATCAATTTTTAAAAAAATTTATAATTAAACATTCTACAATAATTTAAATTCCAACATCGGAGAAATAAATTTGAATTCTTTAAACTTTTTCTTTTGCTTCAACGAGACACGAGAATGGCATTCAGAATAAATTTACATCATGAATCCATGGTGTATGAACATATTGCTAAGCGGTTCTATATTAAAGCAGTCCAGTGATGAAATAATGAAGTAAAATTTATTAAATGACAAGCGATGTTCATTTTGTATATAGATGGTGCAATTATATTTGATGCTTAATATTGTGCCACATTAGAAATATAAATGGATATTCTGCTCTGAAAACTATTTTATTCTTGTTACAAAGTTATTTTAAAAAAATTATGCATATTAATCTACCATAAATTCTCATGTAAATGTTTCGCAGGTGTAAGAAACTTTCATTACTTTAGTAAAAGTTTTCGAAAGCAGCAGACTAGCTATATAAAAAACTTGATACCTTATGAATACTTTGAATGTCAAAACTAAATTAATTTTACTTGTAATTTCTAAGTATTACAGTATTTAAAATGAAATAGTTTGTTTGTCCTTAGTTTTGCTAATCAAAATTACTTAAGTAATTATATGAAAATATATATATGTATAACAAAAATAACAAATGAAAGAGTTTAAAGATAACTCCAGCAACTTTAAACTATTCAAAGTTGCTTGATGATTTCAGACAATGAAATTATTTTGGATGAAAAAAAAATCATTTTCTTCACTCTGTTTAAAAACAGTTTCAGTTTTTAACAAATCTATTTTATAGTCCTTTCAATAACAAAATATATAATAATGCATACATTTTTAAATGTATCTTATATTTTATACTGTCACTGAGACTGATTTTACTGTTGGAAAATAAATTGAAAATCTTGTGCGATTAGACAAAAATAAGGTCATAAACAATATTTAGATTTATGAAAACTAACAAGGATTTTTAAATAAGATTTTCATAAGTCACATCATTTTTGAACATATAGTAAATGATATACATTCTATCTAAAATTAAAACTACAGTGCTAGGTATATACAAAATACGACCTCAAAATATGCTGATTAAACCCTTATTTCACTTGTTATTGATTGTGTAAGGTTTGAATTAAGATCATTTACGGTATTGTACTTAGCTTTCAAAATATTAATTTGGGAATGAAATTGTGTTTATAAAATATTTTAAAAAACAGTAAACTTTTTTGGGTCAAAAAGAGTTTTTTTCTGTTGTGTGTTTAGTTTAAAACAGCAAAGAACTCAAAACAACTGCATTATGCATGTTTGGGAATGTGAAAATAATCATTAAACTCCATAGTCTCTTCTGAGCATTGATGAATAAAACATTTAGCAAAAAATAAAATTTATACAGAAGTAAATTTTTATGGAAATGAGAATCATTTCAAGATTCCTAAACTTGTTTTACATTAGGATTTTTGCATACTTCGTTGGTATTTTACAAATAAATGAATAACAAAAACCAAACTTTCTGATTAAAAAATCAGTTTAAATAATAAATACAAAACATTTATATTTACGTTTTCAGATTTAATCTTGTTTTCATACCGATTTTCTGAAAATGTTTCAGTTAAAATATGTTACGAATAATCTAATTCAAACCTCATATAATAAATAATAATTGAAATAAGACTTGTATCAGTCTTTTAAAGGATATTCTGCATATAAATTATTACTAAAGATAATAAATTATATTTAACAAATCAAAATACTTATATTTATATGTATTATTTGCTTTTTTTTAATATTTTAAAATAATTTTAATTTGATCAAAAATGATTTAAATTAAAATATACATTATATACATATATTTCAAATACACATATTGTATTTATCCATTACATATCCAACATGGCTGACAACCCAATGAGTAAAAAAGATCAATTGCAAGATCTATATACAAATGTTTGATGACGACTTATATAAAATTTTTTTTTCTCTACTTTTTTAACTCTGAAGTGTTTTCATAAAAATAAAACTACATTTTTCAGCATCAATTTAAATCCCTTTTCTAAACATACCAAATATGTTAAATTTTAAGCTTTCAATCTAATTAACAAATTAATTTTACTGAAGAGAGATCTTACAAGATTCTTTATTTTAGTTATAACTTTGTCTTTTGGGAAGAGATTTTAAAAAATATTTTGTAATTAAGAAATCCCTTTTTTTTTCTTTTGTAAATAATTCTCTATATTTCTTTCCTTAGAAAAATGTCATAAACTGCAAAAAGTTTGGTACCCAAAAGGTCAAATATTTCACGCTACTATGTTTTATCCCTGATATGAGTTAAACTATCGTAAAAATCCTTTTGAACAGTACAATGGTTATCTCAGTGCAGTTTATATATAATCAATTAAAAACAAGTTTTAAACACTAGTCTTTTTACATATTATACAACTTAAGTTTTGCTTCCTTAAATCTTGTTGAAGCTATTCTGTGCGGAAGCAGTGTGAGCATGTCTCAAGAATCGTAATCATCCTCGGCACTACTGACGGCCGTATTGCAGTTCTGAATGCCAGGAAATTGCATTCTCAAAGAATGAATATCTGGTCTGTTAAATAAATAATTACTATTAAATTTTGCATATTTAATAAACAGTTAACTTTTAAACACCTAATTCAGATACGTACGTTAAATTTGAAGAACTGTTGAAATTAGGACCTACTGAACTATGCTGGAATGTAGTTGATCCAGTTGGGACATAATCAGATGTATTTTCACTACTAGCTTCTTCTGAATCCTGGAGAAAGTATCAAAAATATTTTAAAAAGTCAATTTTAATTAAAAAGTATTAATCTATAGCTAGTTTTATTTTAAAATTTCTAGAGTTCCTTCCTAGTACTGCAATTTATTCCATGAATATTAACTAGACAAACTGTATTATGCAATTATTTTGTTTACAAAATACTCTTCCATAATTCATTTCTGATAATGTGGAGTCTTGATTAAATGGATTCTATTGTGTGCNGTATTAATCTATAGCTAGTTTTATTTTAAAATTTATATAATATAAAATATAAAAGGCAATTTAATTAGTGCTGTCAAAATAGTATGTTAACAATTCTATCATAGCATATATATATTGTAAAGGCTCAATTATATGAGGCACTGCGGTTTTGAATGTAAATTTTTGTTGGAAAAATTCATTTACACTAGGGGTCCCCAAACTTTTTATCCCGTTGACCCCTTTATGGAATATTTGCCTTCTTATCGACCCCCAGAATAAGTATTTAACAAAAACATTAAATCATTTTTGCATTTCTAATGTGATAAGGAGACCCGCATAACAACCCAACAAAAAATTTAAAATTCCCATATCTTATAAAATCCACCCAATAACATTAACAGAAAAAGGAGATATTTTCCACTGATTTATAATTTTAAAAAATAATAGCAAAATAGATAGATGGAAATTTGCCTATAGTTCTTAAACCGTACATGTCATAATACGTAAAATACACACTTATCTTTGAAAACATAACATTAGTTATATTGGATGAAAAAACCTCTATCATTTTACGACTACTACTGAATGCCTTAAAAATATGTTGAAATGTCTTTTTATTAAAATAGTTGATATTAGTGGGATGGATGTGTCTGAAGAGAAGCAGCAAGATTATTGATATACGATTGAAAATTGGTAAGTTTTAGTCGCAAATCATCACGGTTTTCCAAGTTCAATCTGTTCCTGTTTTGTCAAAATTGCGTTTGCGTGGATAAAACTAGCTTCAACCATGTATGAAGTTGGGAATGCAAGAAAGGTTCGGCTTCTGCTCTGAGCTTGGGATATTTAGGACAATGTTGTTATTGCTCCAAAATTCACTGAGGTTTTTATTTTTAAACAAAGCTTTAGCTTCGAAATCTACATATATTTCACTCAGTTCATCTTATAAGTCAGGTTGACTAACTTCATTATCTATTTTTACATCAAATGCATTAGCAAACCATTCGGGAACATGCATATTCTCAGAGTCTTCGAAACATGCTTTAAAGTCTTCTCTTAATTTATCACAATGTGTAATATATATCTCCAAATCCCGGTCGGAAATCTTTTCATTTTCTTTTAGTACTCGCAAGTTTGAAAAATATTTAAAATCAGATCGTGCCAGTGAAGATTTAAATAGCTCCATTTTTATTCGAAAGGCCATAATGATTGTTTGAGCTCGAATAATTCTAACATTTTTTCCTTGCAAACGCTTCTGTACTATATTAATGATTTTCGATATATTACGATATTTTCTATGTAAAGGACAAAATACTGTATCTACATTTAGATATAAAATACTTAGAATGACAACCCTACTAGAGTGTAACAGTATGTTTGTGTATAAAGAACTACCAGCGTTCATAACATGTTTGTAACACTAGTACAGTTGCCAGATGCGTGAAAACAGAGTAACACATGCTTAAAGCGGTGTAGGCTAAGACAAAACTCAACCTATAACTAGGGTAGTCAGTAATGTTGTTGATCATATCAGTATTTCGAATTTTTATTGGAATATTCTATTTTTTTCCTAGACAGTTTAATTGATCCTCTTTGGTATTAATCGACCCCCTTTCGACCCTCGTGTATTAATTGACCCCTGGAGAACTCTTATCGACCCCAAGGGGTCGATATCGACCACTTTGGGGACCCCTAATTTACACCATCCATGAACTATTATGTGGAAGTTTTGTCTATTTCAATCATGTCTGTTACAAAACAGCAAAACATACTTAATAACAGTAACTGTTTGATGCATAAATTTTATATGTGGAAGAGTCAAAAAGTAAGTTGCAATTAGTAAGAATTTTTTGTTGATAAATGATATTTAGATTAAATTTAGTGGCAAAACTTCTGGCTACAAGGTCTAGCATATTTGTTGATGTGGTTGCAGAGGTGAATCTGTTTTCAGTTGTGAAAGACGTTGCATCATTTGGATATAGTGTCCAAACTTGAAGTTCATGCAGAAAGTTGTTTCTTATGGGCAAAAAAGTGTAACCCCACTGAAATTCAATACCAGTTGAGGGAAGTGTATGGTGAGAAAGCTTTTGTATGAAAATGCCACACCTCATTCAGCAGGTATCACAAAGGCTCTACTGGAAAAATTCAAATGGATTGTATGGGAACATCCTCCATACAGTCCAGATCTTGCGCCTTATGATTTCTGTGAGTTCGGCCCCATGAAAAAGGACCTTTGGAACCACCAATGAAGACATCACAAACACAAGAATGGATTTATTGAATGTTGGATGGGAATACTTCCAAAAAGAAATAGAAAAATTTGTGCCACACTACGATAAAATGTTTAAATGAACTTGCTGATTATGTTGTAAAGTTGTGCTTAGATTGTACATTCAAACAAACAAAAAAATTTTGACTCATGTTTCAAACTTGTATTTTTGGTACAAGTACAACTTACTTTTTGACTCACCCTCATACATCTTAACAACAGAATTTTTGAAATGAAATTTTGTATTAAAAGTCATTTAATTTGTTTAATATTCAACTAGTAGTTACAAATTATTATATTCTGTTTCCAATGTTAATATTAAATTTATAGCTGTCTCTAAATATACTGTACAGTACATCACCATAACAGTTATTTATTTATTGCCATGCCGATCAGAAATGACAAAAATTTAATAATTATTATGTTGATCAGCAGTTGCTGATCAACATAATAATTATTAAATTTTTTGTTATGATATGTTTCTCAATCAGTTATTAAGTTTTGATGTCATCATTAAATTAGTGCTACGAAATTTAAATAAAAAGTCAATTTTGGAATAAAACCTTTTTTGAAGAAATTATGCCTTTTGAAATCACAAAGGAACTATGGATTTGAGACGTTTGAAATTTAAACATAGATTTGAGATTCCTAATAGAATCCATCTAATAGGAATTTAATTGTGCTATTTTTATCTTAAATTATATGTATTTGATGTTTTAAGTTTATCGAAATGGGTATTGTTCAGGATCTGGGAATGAATTAATTCATCTTTACATCATTTCTAATGAGAAAAATTGATTCAGACTTTGAATGATTCAGAGTTTGAACAACCTCCTGGATTGAATTAAATTTGATGTATGAGGCACAACTGTAATTCTGAAATATATATATTTTGTTGGTTTTAATTTTTAAAATAATTTTTTTTTCTTTCCTTCATCAGTTTATAAAGTTATTAATACTAAAATTAAATGCAAGTTTTACCTATATTTGAGTGTCATAATAAGTTATTTGTTCTACATTTATACTAAGTATGTTAAAAATAAAAATTGTTTTATGTAATTATATATATGATAATAGTTGTTATCCTTAAAACAAGAACATAATTTTATCCTTTATCAAAAAATGAATACATAAATGAATATTGTAAGTTCTTACACGCAACACAAATTCACTTATTTGAAGATAATATCTTCTAAATTACAATCGGTTGGTTCAATAATTTACTATTATTACTAATTTCACTAACCATCAAAAAATTAATCAACTCAAATATTTAATTAAAATTTCTTCATAATAAAATGAAAATACCTCATCTTCCTGACCACTTCCACTTTCTGACTCTTCAGCTGTTGATTGACTTGGTCCTGCATTTCCATCTACATTTTGATTCTTTCTACGTCTAAAAAAAATTTTAAGATAAATTAAATTATTTTTTATTTAAATAAATTATCATTAATTAAATTATAAATTTTCTATAATTATTTAAAATTATATGTTTATTTGTGTAAATTTATGCTATTTCACAAATCACAGATATTGATTACAGCAGATAATCATTCATTGAATAGGACCAAACATTCATATGTCAAATTATCAACAGTACAACCTTACTTTCACACTGTACGATATCATTGAAATAAGAAAAGCACACACATGCAAAAGATTTTTTAATAAATGCATCTTATTCTAATATCAAAAACTATGTTGATATTTTGAGAAAGGAGAAGAAAAATTAGGTTTAAAAAAGAAACAAAAAGTCAATTACAATATGCAAATTGTCAAAATTACTTCATGTATACTTGGTTATAATAATAAGTAATTAATTATGAATTAAAAGTATCCTAATACTCTTTTTTCAGTTAAAGTTATATAGTGAAGGCCTTTTCTCTACTAACACAATGCAATTAGTTTCACTTCCATTTTCTGCAAAGAATATCGGAATTTGCAATTTTTTACTCACACTATCAACAAGCACTAATATAACAGAATGTTCAGCACTGGTCAACATTTCAACAACATCAAATAACAATAAATGACTATTGCCAGTCATTGGAATAAGTGCAAAAGCTCTTTTGATATGACCAAAAAAAAAAAAAATGATTATTTGTTAATTATCACATCAAATTAATGACAATGTAATACTGGCATTAAATAATTCATCATAGAAATTTGGTACTTACACAATAGAGTAAGAGTAGTTTTTCATTAATTTACAAATAGAAAACAAAATTATTTAATATTAAAACAAAATTTATTATAAAATACCATTCTTGAAATAAAGAATGTGTTTCTTATTAAAGTAGCTGTTCATATTCTAACACATTTTCTAGATTACATTTTTATTAAAAAGGTTAAATAGTGATTTCAATAATAAGGATTAATAAATATCCTTGATCCAGTTATGCCAAAGTAATAATAGTTTTCTAAGAACTAATTTAATTACAATGTAATGTTAAAATATTTATCTGTATAAAGCTGTGAATTAAACTGAAGAACTCTATTAATATTTGAATTATGTAAGATTTTATGAGTACCCATAACATCTACATCTATACATAGGATTTTTGTATCCTCTTCTATTATTTAAACATACATTGAAGAATTCAAAATTATATCAACTTTACAAAAGTTTAGAACTTAAAACTATTAATGCTAGCATTTCATTTTGTAACTTTTAATTTAATTATAACATCAAATTTTTATGTTTATAATATATGTATGATATATATAAAAATATACATAAATTACAAAAGATTTGTGGCTCATTTACTATCACCTATTTCTATCACTTACAAGTGATGTTTGTAGGCCAAATTAACATAAGCTGCCTGCACAGGTTTGGTCTGAAGGCCATAGTTTGAGTACTGAGCTAACTAATCAAAAACAGCATTGAAATTTATTTCAGAAACTAAATTATAAATAATTACAATTATATATAACTAGAAACGACTCCATCAAGCATGATGAATACTTATTATGAGAAAATAGAGATTAAAGGATTGAGAAGAGTAGAGATTAAGAAATTCAAGATCTTTTAGATCTAAAATTTACTTGACCAATTTTATTCTTATGCTTTCTCCTGGCTTTTTTTTTCTGTTTGTTGTTGACAAAATAGTGTGTCTTTTTAATTCTACTTTGATAAAACAAAGATGAATCATATGTATGTCAGTTAAATGAGCAATGACATTTTCTAAATAACAGGCTTGTTAGATCATTACTTCTGATGGATAATAGAATATCACATGGTTACTATAAAAAAATTAAAAAAAAAATATTTGTTATAAAGTGACACAATGGAGTTATCTCTTTTTATAGTTTAAATTTTAGATTTAATGAAGTAAGTTTAAAATATGCCATTTGCCAAAATATTTAAAAATGCAACTTAAAGGAAATTCAATTATCATGCATGAACTAAATGAAGTCACCAATGTCACTGCAATGTAAGTGCAATCACTGATCCAAAATCTATAAAACGTTTATTCTATAACTAATATTTCTGCAAAATAAGTAGCCTATACTTTCAGTCAGAGCATAAAATGAATAAAACCAAAATTTCATCTCAACTGGACAAAAATTGCAGGAGTTATAAGAAATTCACAAACACACAGAACTGCTTTATATTATTAATATCTTAAGTGTTTTATACACAAAAGGAAATTAAATATATAATTAAAACAATATAGAAGAGTTAACATAAAGAAAGCAGATTATAAAAACCAATTTATAAATTTGATAAAATTTTCCAAATAAATGTACAGTAATACCCTAAACTTACGCGATAGGTGTGACCAAGCGATAATTGCATAAGTTGAATTTACGTAAGTTGGGGTATAATTTCGCAATTTGTGTAAAATCCAAGTCGGATGTATGTAAGCTAATAAATGTTCTCATTAATCTTATCTTGTCTTTTGATTCGTTCATGGTTACAAGAAATCACCACATAGAGTCTCTCAAGTCTCCGTAGATATAAGAAACACAGAAATAAACAACACAAAATAAATTATAGCCATGTGTCGATTCCGTGTGACACGTCTGAATATGTAAGCTGAACAATAGTGTTGGGGGAGTGAGTAATCAAGAGTTGTGTGGCGCTCAAACAAAAGATGAATCGACAAGATTTGAAAATCATGTAACTCCGAGTTCGCGTAAGTCGAGGTAGCGTAAGCCAAGGTATTACTATATTATAAAAATTTTAAGTTCTAAAGTGTAAATCAGTAAGAGTTCTAAGAGTGTCTGTAAAATATATTTAAAACTTTTTATGATATATAACTTGTTTCATTAAAATTACAACACATTTTCTTCACTTTTGATTACAGTCATAAATCAAAATTATCTTGTTTTTGAACTAATTTTAACTTAAAATTAATTAAAATTTTTATTTAGTTAATTCATTGCAAATTTTTGATTTGATTTCATATGAAACTGACCTTTCTTTATTATGTAACACATGTACACGTGCATGGAATTTTTGGTAAGTTATTAAATAAACTTGGATTTGGATGCATTAACATGGATGATATACTCTATTTTTAGATCAGACTTATTTATTGAACATTTTTTTAAAAATTATACAATAAAACAATCACTTAAAAAATTTTATTTACAACTGTACTAAAACAAATATAAACCTAAGACTGTGATTAAAATTTATTTAATCTTTTTGAAATTTACATTGCCATGAAAAATAACCAGAATAAATTTATTTTAAAATTTCTAGAGTTCCTTCCTAGTACTGCAATTTATTCCATGAATATTAACTAGACAAACTGTATTATGCAATTATTTTGTTTACAAAATACTCTTCCATAATTCATTTCTGATAATGTGGAGTCTTGATTAAATGGATTCTATTGTGTGCATGAACACATATACTCAATATTTTTTAAGTTTATATCATAATATTAGGAAAGCTTTCAAATTACTGAAAATAACAGAACTACATTTGCATCAGTTATCTAGAAATTTATCATCACAATATTTACATTTCAAACTGAATAATTATCTACTTCCTTATATTCAATAGTTGGAAATTTGATATATATTTGCATAACATATAATTGATTCTATGTAATTATCATTCATGCTATGTTGAAATTGATGTATGTTTACAATATCAATATTTTAAGATCTAGAATATTGATATCAAAATTTTGGTTTAGCACAGCCCTAATTATCATATTACAATTGCACAGTTATATATAATTTCTAATCACCTGAATAATAAACAGCTAAAAATTATCGGGGGGAAACTGAATATTAATCAAGACAAATTATTGATTACAACTAACAAAAAGAAAATAAATATTACTATATTGCAGCAAAAATAAATTTTATAGCAATTGTGAAAAACAAAAAAGAAACAAATTGAAAAGAAAATACTTTTAAAATTATTTAGTGATATGGTAAAGGCAGTATTTAAGAATAATAAAAATTTCTCTGATAAATCTTTAAGAAATAAATAATACAAAAGAACACACACAAATGTCAAAATAAAAAATTTATGAGAATTTGAAAGTAAACTGCAATATCTATCAATGAATGCTACTGTATATCTATAAAAAGCTTATAAGTTACTAGAGACACTGCCATTTTGTCATATCATGACAGAATTGAGACAGAGCATTGCATTTTTGTAATTAAAAATTTTGTAATTAGTACATATAAATTATATTTTACTCCTTCTAATCAAGCACTGACACATGTTTAAATATGGGTGCATGGGCATGCATGCAATCAGAAGTCATGGATCCCCATTTTTTATTACACTTTTGGATTCCTCATTGCAATTTGAGAATGAATACAATTCTGTAAGCCACATAGAATTTGCTAATGCTCGCCTCAAAAACTTTTATAAATAATTATTTCTTATATTTATCAACCATATTTCATATTTTAATACCTCACAAGCATACATAAATATGATGCTTTTAACATTAACAAATAAATAACATTAATAAAGTAACTTGTGAAATGTTCTTGGAAATGTTGATTTTCAAATAAGTATATATATTTTTGATTTGCTAATTTTTTTTAATATTTCAAAAATTTTAACCTAACTCAAATGTAAAAGAATACTTCAATAATATTAAAAATTCATAATATTATTGAATATTTTTATTTAAATTACAATTGGCATTTGACTTTTAGATATTTAACTTTCAGATAATTTCTCTTTCAGGCATAATACAAACTTCTGAATCATTTTTTTTGTACACCTAATTCAGACTTTTTGTATATTTCATTGTACAAAACAAAAATATTGAGCTATTGTAGAGTGATTTCTGCCAGTTATAGTTTTGATTACATCAAAAACTCTTTAAAAATTAATTTTTATCCTCTAACACAAGACGACTTCCAACAACTTAACACTTCGTTGAGTAATAATAATCCATGAAAACCTTTCTGTACAAGTGTTATGTTATGTTCTTATGTTCAGTCACCATCCGAAGCAGACCTCAGTGGAGGTCAAAAGCGTTTGTGGAGTAGTTAAGATCATAACACTTGTACAGAAAGGTTTCGTAAATTATTATTTTTATCCTCTTTTTAATCTGCAGTTTTAACATTTCATGCATTGTAACGTGCTCCTTGTAAAAAAGTTAAACTTTTTTTCTTTTAATAAGAGATTTTATAATTTTTCTTTCAGTCCTCTAGAACTGATGAAATAAGACAATGCAACACTTGGGAAATCTGCTAAAGGGAATGCCTCGAGAGAACTTTCTATAGAAAACCAGCTTTTGCTTTAGGTTTTCTATAGAATTCAGTGGCTCAATCTATTTTGTCATCAAACACTGATAATTAATACTGAGCCACTCTCTGGATCAGTATTAATTATCTTTAACTAATATGCAAAAATGTGTTGCTTGACTTTTGAACATTCAACTTTTATAGAAATTTTTTGAAAATGCAAGGTCTAAAAGTCAAGGACTGACTGTAATACAAAGTTTAAATTTTAATAGACTACTATATCAAGTATCAAGTTCAACTTTTTATGCAAGGATATCCAAAAATGTAAAAATATAATTACTTTGGTTGACGTGGAGGCAACTGTGTCAAACCAGGCTGTGGTATTATTGAAGGATTAGATGAATCGTCTTCACCTTGAACATCCGGAATACAGGACACGAGATCTTTCAGAAAATGAAACTGGTTGTCTGCAAGAATGCAAGCTTTCCTAATTGAAGTAATAAAATAAATTTTAAAATACTATTAGAAGTGGATATAACTTAAAAAACTATATATTTTTTAAATTTTACATAAAGTCTTTCTTTCATATAAGAAAGACAAAGAAAAAAATTTACTGAAAGAATCTTCAGTCATTATATGCATGTATATGTTACTGTGAAAGACCAAAATTAGAGAATGTCGATATTCTCTGGTGAATGTCGACACATACAAAATACGTCGGTGAAAGACCAAATATTTGGTTATATTATTATACATTCGAACAATTGCTGGTGTATGTCGACAAGCACAGATAAGCTTTGGTGAAGGTCGAAACGACACTCGAGAAACCAATGTCAACAGAGAGGCAATAGTCTGTCACCAAATCCTTTGTGGGTAGCTGGAGGTAGGACAAGGTCGTACCTCTTTTCCCAGCAACGGTTTGGTAGAAACTGCCCACTTTGTCACTGGATAGTGTTTTTGTTCTTTTGATCCCGTGAGATGGGGATTGGTTTGTCAGGTCGAGTAGCAGAGGATGAGAGGGGTCGTCGGTAAGGCATTGGCGATATCTGAATAAAAGATACCATTAACAGATCAGTTTGTAATCACGTAATAACATAATCAGTTCGTAATTTGTAAAGAAAAGTTACTTTCCATAGATGAGATTTCTTCTCAAGAAATATCACTGAGAGAAGCAGCTGCAGCTAATTCGAAAAGTGGAGGGCAAGGCTATACACACTATCATTGCAAAAAAAAGTGTTCCACGAATAAATGCAGTTGTAAAAGCAAGGGACTCTTGTGCAATTCAAAGTGCCATAACAATTTAAGTTGTTGCAATAAATAAGATTGTATAACGTTAATCACATAATTTATGTGTAAGTTTATTATTGAATTAATTTCTTTTCTGATTAAGAATGTACTGTACTGTTCGTTTTAGGTTCAACAGTTTATTTACTTGTGCTATTACTTAAGCTTTCTCCTATTTTGACATACTAAAATGTTGAATTTTTGACTTAACGTAATAAAAATATTTTTATTCAACATTCACCATCAGTGCATGCTGAATGTCGACATTTGCCGGTTTAAGTGAGAAATAATGATATTTAGCAAATATTTCGTACATACACAAAACGACTGTGTAAATGCTGACATTCACCAGATATCGGTCATTCACAGTAACATATACACAAAAGAATAAAAACACATTAATTATTGTGCAGCACCAATTGGTACATTTCATGGCACTTAATGACTGTCAAATAATAATCATTTAATAATTCAATGATTTCTACATTTTATTTGGAGTTAGTTTCCTTAAGATATTAAAATAAGCTTGGGATCCAGTGCAATTGATTTGAATAGTGACTTAACAATTTCATTGGTTCAATAATCTGTTTAACAGAACTGTTGTTACACATATATAAATAATACTAGACAAAAATAGACATTTTTTCTGAATTTTCTAATGGTAGCTGTTTTATCTGTTGATTAAGTAAGGCTGTGAGGTAGTCTTCTGAAGAATTTTTTTGGATTGAAGAGATGTTTACTTAATCAAAAAAATAGACATCTCATATAGGAAATCATGTGATAAAAGAGTTAAATATAAAAAATACAGAGAAAACTTTTTGCTAGCTAGTTTCTAACTGTAAAAATGATCAAAAAACTTTGTTTTAGGACATATGTTTATTTCAACAAGTTGATTTTGAATGATATATAAACTCAGAAAATTTTCCATTAGATAATTTGTTTTGAAAATATTGTTGGGAAGAAAACTAATCAGGACCAGAGAGGCCATACCTGACTGACAGCAGTCCTTTAAAATGTGTGTGTTGCTATCAGGTTAGTTGATCATTTGCATTGCAGAATAATGACATTTCAATGCAACATTAATTAAAATTTTTAAATTCATAATAAACTTACTTTCTACTTAAAAAAAAAAGTTATTTCTGTAATAGTTTAAGAGAAATGAAAAATTCTGAAAAAAAATGAATATAAAAATCTAAAACATTGGAAGATAGATTTCTACTTCAGGAATAAGAGTGATGAAAAGATGCAGCAACAATAAAGACAAAACAAAATTAAAAATGAATTTAACATGGCCAATGGTAATTTGTGTTCAATAATAATATAATAAATATAATTACAACTTTTAACAAGTTTTATTTTTGTTAAAAGTTGTAATTATATTTATTATATTATTATTGAACACAAATTACCATTGGCCATGTTAAATTCATTTTTAATTTTGTTTTGTCTTTATTGTTGCTGCATCTTTTCATCACTCTTATTCCTGAAGTAGAAATCTATCTTCCAATGTTTTAGATTTTTATATTCATTTTTTTTCAGAATTTTTCATTTCTCTTAAACTATTACAGAAATAACTTTTTTTTTTAAGTAGAAAGTAAGTTTATTATGAATTTAAAAATTTTAATTAATGTTGCATTGAAATGTCATTATTCTGCAATGCAAATGNGCCACATCACTAGCGGACATTTGAAATTTGCCGACTAGGACGGTCGGTTAACCGAGGTGTCGGTTAATCGGGGTTCGGATAATTGAGGCTCTACTGTGAATATAATTTGTTTTAAAAATGTATATAAAAGCATTTCTTAAATAATAAGTAGAAACATTCTAATTTCATTAATTTATGTTTTAGACTTTTAAAATCAGATCTTTACTTACAAATGAGAAGTTGTAAGAGTTTTAGCATTTCTTGTCTGCGTTATTTCACTAGCTTTTTTTACTAAAGACTCTACAAAAAGCTCTAAGGCTCGAGCTAGAAAATAAATGTTAAGTACAAATTTATATAATAAAATAAATAGATAAATTTAAACATTTGAATTTCTATGATAAATCTGCTACTCAAATAGCATAATTTGAGTAGCAGATTTATCATAGAAAATGCCACTAATGAAAGTAATAAAATTTCTACAGAGCAGTCCAAATGGCAGAATCATTCTGACAATGTTCATACTTCAAGAAATACCAATGGTAAGCTATCGTGCTACTACCAACCTGCTATAGTTGTGCCAATGGTAAATAATCAAGCCACTGTCAGATTTAAGATGATCAGATATCAGTCACTATTCAGAGTGCTGTCAATAAATATGGAACAAAGAAAGTATTCAACCCAAATTCCACTTCAATGTTTAGAGTAAAATGTATTTGATGTCAAGTATGTTGCATGCATTATGAAGCATGCTCTGCCCAATAGTATTCATTGTGACAGTTACTGTTTTTCCAGAATGGAGTGCATGTTGTCAGTCCATAAAATGCACTGAATTAATTGTAGTTCATCATTCTGTAAATTTATCATAATATTGTACCCCTCAAATCACCATATAGTATCTCTGCATGTTGTGCTTATTGCAGATATCAGTAAAGTAGATGCATAGCATGTTAACTTAACATCTGGTATATTTGTGTCTGCTTCAATCTACAACCCACCTAACCAAAGCTGGAAAAATCTCTCTTGTCCCTGGATAGATGTTCAAGTGGAACCCTGTAAATCAAAGTTATATCACCTGTCTCTATGTTTTACATTGAATTTAGAGTTCCTTCTGTTTATCTATCAAAAAATGCAGCACTCATCTGGCAACACTCTTCCTGTAGCCAAGATGGTCATGGATGATTGTATTGATCATTCCAAAGAAATATTCAAATGTTTCCTCTATCTGTTCATATGTTATTTGATGGTCTTCTCTAATAGTCTCACCTCTTTGACTTTCTCGTCAGTAATTAATGTCAACAGATGACAGGTATTATCCCCTCTTAAATTTATTAAACCATTTATAAACTATTTTGTATAAAAGGTGTCACATTCCCAAAAGCTCATTTCAGTATTAAATTGATTCTTGAAGGATTACTTTGACATCAAGGATTATAGCAAGAAAATGTTTATATGTAAACTCCATGAAGGCTACTTTAAAAATGGCAAGAAATATCATTCACACAAGAGCCATGTAATGGTCAAAATAATCCTAGCTGTAAAATACTTTTTTTAGATAGTGGTAAAATATTTCAGTGGTATCATTAACTTTCAGCAATCTTATTTAGAAATATCCAATTATAAAAATTTATTAAGTGTCTCTTGTATAAACTAAATAAACTGTTTAGATACAAATTTATTAGAAAATTTTGAATTAAGTTACTTTAATAATCAAAATAAATAATTAAGTAAAAAGTTTCACTTTCTTTTTGTAAAGATTCTACACTCAAAACTAATTCAGTAATTAACTATGCATTGTGTTGCTGTTTTTGGCATAGCACGCTTATTCAAAAAAGGTATATAAGATTGTTTCATAGTTTTTAGTATCCATAAATCTGTAACTAACATATGATGTCTATAAAAAGCACAAAAAAGCAATAGTAGTTGGCATCTATTATTGGTTTGTTATAATTAATTCTCAAATTATAGAGACAACACCCAGAAAAAAATAAATGTAATATTGCAGTAAACAGAAGTTATAATTGATCATTTTAACTTGTCAACTGTAATTTCAATAAAATCCGGAAAATAAAATTGTGTGGATAACATTAAAATGATAATCTGTTCAGAGTTTAATCCTAACTTTTTTTTCATTTTAAAAAATTATTCAATAAAATCATTCATATGAAACATCAAATTTACATTAAACCAAATAAACTATATACAGTCTTTAGTTAAGAAAAAATATTTAAATTCTAAAAAATCATAAAAAGCAAATATTTAAAAAATTGTTAAAAGGATACAAATTATAACAGGAACAGCAGCTGCAACTTTTCCAACTTCTTCATCTGTTTGCATTATTTTTTTAATTCTTGCCTATAAAAAATAATAAATTATTAATAAATAAATGTATCTATTCAGAATTTAAATAATTACATGTAAATTATGAAGTATATAAGATTTAATAAATAAATAACTAAAATGTTGGCAAAGGTTCTTGTTCAACTTTCCTGGCACTTGAAATACGAGGTCAAGGATACCAGTAAACAAGTCCAATAATTTTCAGTTATCTATGAAATACAATTTAAATAACAAGAAAAACTTAAGAGTAATTCTCTTGAATTATGAGAAATTTCTCTAATTAAAAAAAATATTTGTTTAAAAAACACTAAGACAGATAAGCACAAAGTTAAAATTTTATGTGGTGCCATATGTTATAAAAGTTATTTTTTAATAAAATCTCATTAATGATTATATATCAATAAAATAGCAAAAGGCTTAATTTTGAGAAATAAGATTAGTTTAAGGAAATGTTTTTTATTGTCAATAATGAGTGTAATTTTCATTAAGTCTAATACCATTTATGATGTGATACACATGATCCCCATGACCTTCGATCCTTAAGCTCCAAAATGTAACAACATTAACACTCCATTTATAGTAATAACCCTGTCAGGTTTTAAAATTTTTGATTCATTCAGTCCTGATATATAACGCAAACAAACCCTTACAAAATGTGTGTGTGTGTGTGTGTGTGTGTGTGTGTGTGTGTGTGTGTGTGTGTGTGTGTGTGTGTGTGTGTGTGTGTGTGTGTGTGTGTGTGTGTGTGTGTGTGTGTGTGTGTGTGTGTGTGTGTGTGTGTGTGTGTGTGTGTGTGTGTGTGTGTGTGTGTGTGTGTGTGTGTGTGTGTGTGTGTGTGTGTGTGTGTGTGTGTGTGTGTGTGTGTGTGTGTGTGTGTGTGTGTGTGTGTGTGTGTGTGTGTGTGTGTGTGTGTGTGTGTGTGTGTGTGTGTGTGTGTGTGTGTGTGTGTGTGTGTGTGTGTGTGTGTGTGTGTGTGTGTGTGTGTGTGTGTGTGTGTGTGTGTGTGTGTGTGTGTGTGTGTGTGTGTGTGTGTGTGTGTGTGTGTGTGTGTGTGTGTGTGTGTGTGTGTGTGTGTGTGTGTGTGTGTGTGTGTGTGTGTGTGTGTGTGTGTGTGTGTGTGTGTGTGTGTGTGTGTGTGTGTGTGTGTGTGTGTGTGTGTGTGTGTGTGTGTTTGTTTTATATTTTTAGCATCCTTTAAGCATCAATATGAAAAATAGCAGAAAGATTAAAACTTGATCAATCACCATTCTTTCCCTATTTTATATTTATAACAGCCAGGAATATAAAATATTAAAAAAATTAAAGTAATTTAAACTTTAATATCTTCTATATTTGCTCTATAAAAAGGTATGTAAAAATATTATTATTCAATTTAAATATAAAATTTAAAAAAAGTTACATTAATTGCAATTGAAAAAAAAAAGTATCTTAAGAAAATTTTTAATAAAATCAACAATTTACAGTGCCATCCCTGTAAAGCACAAATAAATACTTTTGAACAAATCTTTCCATAAATATTAATCAATAATCCTTAAGTATCTGAATTATTAAATATATAATTTTGTATTGCAAATGATATTATTACTACTAATCTTTGGTCTTTAGATGTAATTACTTTTTCATTTTAAAGTGATGTATGCATGTATGTATGTAAACTAATTAAAAATAAACCAGCAATGAGTTGCTCAACTTTCCCGCCAAAATTTTAAATTTTGGTGGCAAAATATAATAATAGATAGCATTTTTAAAAAACTTTTATATTTTTAACTATTATAAAATGGCAAAAATCTAAATTTTGAGGGTAGGGATGAGTTTTATAAAAAACTAGCTTACCCGTCGTGCATTGCTGCGATCTCAGAAGAAACAAAATTCAAGCAAACTCGTTATGATAAAATTCAATTTACATTTTATCATTTTTATTGAAACTTATTATTATTCATTTTCATCAGGAAAAATTTCAATTCTATTTATTTATTGGAGTGTTTGTGGATACACGATATTTTTTGTTTTTCTGTCTGGTGCATACGCGAATAAATCAGAAGGTTTTCTGACACGTGAGCCAGCCACATACAGTTGTTCATGCGAGAAGCGCGGTTTCTCCAAATTTAGCCCACATACTTGCAGCGATTGTCAGAAGTGCGATATTCCCCATTCTTATATATATATATTTTAATCCTTTATAATTTTAATTATTTAATTGCTCCTTCCTCTCTTCCTTGGCATGTTGTGAAATTTCTGATAGTTGGATAATAAACTGTTTTATTGTAATTTGTCTTTTTAAATTATTTTGAGTCTATATTAAAATTTGGAAAAGGGGGATACCTAGATCGGTAAAATACGCGAATTTCTTCCTACAACTTCGGTTGTTGTTCGGGGTACAGTTAAGGTTTTAACAAAGTTCAAACGAATACATAATTAGCAAAAAAAAGTTGAAATAAAGTGATTAAACAAAAATTATTACAAATATTGTAAATAACAGTTCACAAATGCATATATAGAGCTATTTTTTAAAGGGGGGAAATGGTCTTCACAATTTGAAATCGATTGAACACACAGTGTTCGAATGCTCGTGTAAATGCGTGCCATCTATCATAGGATAAATGCCAGAAACCTTCACGGGAGTGTATTAAAAAACTTCCCAAAGTTTCACAGCAATCGGATAAACGGTGTGGTAATGCATGAAGGACACACACACACACACATTCATTTTTATATATATAGATTATAAAATGCTAATAATGAGTAAAATCATCATTAAGTCGAATCCCACTGGAGATACACATGACCCCAGTTATTTTCCCATCTTCTTGACTTTTAACCACCAAAATTTAGTAATAGCATTAATTCCCCCTAATAAACAAACCTCCCTGCAAAATTTCAGAAATTTTTCACTAAAAGCACAGGCATTATTAAAGTTCAAACAGGGTGAACAAAATCATGCCCCAAACACACACACTAACATCCATACATAGAGAAATTACCCCAAAACGTTTTTTGCATTTCTTGACATTTCAAGGTGTCCTAAATCCAAAAATTTTTAAATCTGGAGGGGTCATTTTTTTGCCAGATTGTCATACTTTCCCTCAGTTATAACAGCCAGAAAAGTAATAGCATTTCAATACAATATATTTTAACAAAAATGTATCATAAACCCTGTCTTTAAGACATTATAGTCTTGAAAATAGTCTTTCTGCAGATACAGAGGATCACATTTGACTAAATATTTTTTACTTCCTTGTACTATTCAAGGAAGACTTATCATCACAAACCAGAGTTCCAGTGAATTTGAGACAACTCTGCCATTGGACTGACCAAGCACAGAGTCAATTCATTGCCAGTTGCATTTTCTTTTCTACCATGAGCTAGTTCCTTATGATACCATAGCAGCAAAAATTGAAAGAGCTATCTCCTTTCAAGTCTACAGCCTCATATCATTTACTGAATGAAGTGTAAGTCAACTTTTTTGAAAAGCAAACTTTACCTATAAAACTCTTTACAAAAATAATGTTTATTAATAAATTAAACTTTGATAAACTTGCTATTATACCTAATTATTATTCTCATTGTTTGAAGCACTTCAGTTTAGCACCATACTCAGTACAATGCCAATTTCAGAGATGGCCAAATTGGAACACTAAATTGAGGTTTGACTGACTAGTATTCTAACACTAGTATATAACATGTATTCAATATGCTTCATATTGCAGATATTTATTTAAGGTTAATAATATTTCAGAAAAATTATTAATATAATTTATAATATTAAGCCAATACAAATTTTACTTTTCTGAGGAGAGGTAAAACATTAAATTTATTGATAATATGTATAATTAAAATTATTATAAACCTAATTAAGCAATTAAGTGGTAATTTTATTTTAAGTGGTAAAATATAGGATTGATCAAAAAGTTTATTTTTCTGTAAAAAGGAAATGAACCCAGCGAAACCTCAGATTTCAAACTTAATCCATTCCTAAAAGTTGTTCTCAAATTGAAACAAATTTTCCCATGAGAAACAATGTAAAACGTATTAATCTGTTCCAAACCTCCAAAACAAAGCCTTTTTTTTTATCTTTTTAGCTGTATTTCAGGATAAAAATGCCTACAAATGAAATATAACATTATCTATATCCATTTTATATATGTATATTAAAAGCCACCAATATATATATATGTTCCATTACCACCAACCAGAACAGAAACCATCACTTTTTTGTAAAGTGCTATAAATAGAGACTTGATTCTGCATGGATGAAATATAACCAAATCAATCAAGACGAACAATATTTCAGAAAATGTGGATAAAGTTCTTATGTTTCAATTGCTTTGATTTAAGTTTTGATTAATTAATTAAAATTAAGATTTCATTTTTAATTTCAGTTTTGGTGTAAACCAGAGTTTTAATTATTAATTATTTTATTATTTTTAGTTTTAATTAACTAGCTACCTAGTATTAATATTATTACTATAATACATAAATAACAAAAATTTATTAATATTATTATAATTTATGTTAAGCACACCTTTAAACACCGATTTGTGGATGTCATTTATATTACATGAATGTCAATTAAAGCAATTTTTATTAATTTATTTGATTTAAATTCAATTGTGACTTGTACTGAAAAACAATAGTAGTATCTTACCCGCATGCACATTAATTACATTGTTATTCAGATTAGATTTCAATGATTCATGTTGTGACCTCTAATGACACGAGGCAATCTCAGTGCCACAAACTTCTGAATCGATAGTCCCATCAGTGATTGGTCTGGGCCATCAACTTTCTTTAACACAGAAAGTATAGGGAATTGACCTGTCTGCATCTCTCTAATCGATGGTCAGCTCTGCCGAATAGCTTGTTTGGCAACCAAGTTATCATATAGCAATCAGGACAAATATGATATTCAAAATTTTGTTCGTAAACCAAATTGTTCAAAAAGTGAGATGTACGAAACTCAAGGTTTGACCGTACTAAATTTTAAAAATTAAAAAATATCTTTATTGAATTTTATA